TCTGTGTGGAGATCAACATCATTCAGCGTCAAAAATAAAATCGGGATTTTCAACTCCAATGTAAAGTCAGTACTACTATACGGATCAGAGACTTGCACTGCGCGTCATAAAGAGCATCTCAAACAAACTACAGACCTTCATTAACAGATGTCTTCGCTCAATACTCAAGATCAGATGGCCGGCCGGAAAGGATCAGCAACAAAGATCTCTGGGAGCGAACCAACACAGCAGGAACCGATTGTGAAACAAATATGCAGGAAGAAATGGAGATGGATTGGCAACACTCTGAGGAAACCAGCAAGTGACATCACTAGACAAGCCATTGCTCGAGTGGAACCCGAAAGGGAAGCGACGAGTTGGTCGTCCAAGGGTGACCTGGAGGAGATCATGTGAAGAGGAGATGAAAGCATGTGGGCAGACCTGGAGCCAGGTGAAAACTCTAGCAGAGAACCGAACGCAATGGAGACGCATGGCTGAAGCCCTATGTTCCTCTAGGAACTAAAGGAAATAATAATAATAATAATGACCTGACACAGAATTAACTTTGAACAGTATTTCTGGAGAACGTTTTCTTTGCCTAAATGTTACGAATTATTCTGATTCCTTCCTTGAATGCTCTTCAGTAAGAATGACGAATTTCCTCACACTATCTCTGACCACAACGTGATATTGCACGAATAATATGATTACCGCTTCTTAGTCATTCTGATTCTGTGTTGCAACTTTTCACTTTCAGGTTTACACTCGTGCGTTACAGTCCGTAAGAAGAAACGTATTTTTTATATAACAATCTTCACATAATATTTAAGAATACTTGTCTGAAAATACAATTCTATGTGCTGATAAAGGCACATTCAATTCAGACTGACAGACACTTTAGTCAACTAACGTGGTGTACAAGGCCTAATTTCCAGACCTTCTTCAATTGCGAATACGAGTTTACATTTGCAACACGCAATCTTAGAACTGTTTTCGAGTAAGGTATGTGAAAGTTAAATGCATTTATTTCAAGTAATTGAAGTCTCGGTTCTTAGTATTCTGTGTCTCAAAAGAATTTGACGACCACTTCATTTCATGGTTATGTTAGAGCACTCCCTCCCCCCACCCAGCAGACATCACTTTCTTTTATCGAGTCTTGTGAATCTGCTGTAGTAAATGCTTTTTAATAGTCATACCTATCCATCAGACTACAGAGTTGAACATATCAAAATTGCATTTTCAGGGTTTACCTAAAGAATTTATGGCCTATTGCAACAGAAAGGCTTCATTTTCACCGGCGCTCTAGTAGTTATCATTTAAATTGGTATTTGAGTGATCGACCTTGACATAATTCTGATTACCAATGTCATATTGAACAGGCGAGTAGACCGAACTACACATCTGTCAAGATGGAGAAACCGAAGCAATTAAATCAAGCCTTATTTCTGTAGTGATGTTAGGAAAATGAACTCAAAATACTGGTCACATGAAAATGTAGCCAGCCTTTAGATATGGTGTAAAGATAAATGAGATTGAAATTTTTCAAAGACGGTCAGAATTATACCACACTACCTTTGGTTTACTCTCACCTTCTACGTGGTTCATCTCTGACCGATAATCTTTGTTGGAATCGCTTATGTAAACAAGAGTTCACCTGAATTCTTCATGCTTTTTCAAATGAATTCAGATATCTATAGGTATGACTACCATAAGTATAGAGAAATAATTGCTGGATTAAGTGAAAATATTTTCTTTCTGAAACTTTGTTCTGTTATTTTGTACAAACTTGACGATACAAAACGATGCTGAGTTTCGAATCATTTCAGTGTGCTCCTTACAATGTAACTGGTAATAGTGGTCAACACTAATAACATCAGCAATATCTAACATTCAGCGTGAACACAGGATAACAATAATAATAATAATAATAACGGCTTTATTCCAAACAGTATTTGTGGTACAGGTATGGAATTTTCAGCGTTCATTACAATATTGCATCTAATTATCTCATAAATTTTATAAGGATTTAAAAATATAAAGCAACAACAACAAAAGAAAAAAGAGAAATAAAAGAAATAAAAAAGAACAGCATTGTATTCACATATTTAAACAATGCACCACAGGGTATGATATATAAAATTAGTCTGTAATAGAATATATGAGCAACAATATAATATTAACAAAGAAAGGAGAACAAAAGCTAATGGGAACTATTTGTTAGAGTGCCGCAGTATGTTGATCGTGTCATACCTAACGGATTTCTCATCACATAACAGCTGTGCCAGATAAGGTATTGTGGAGTTTTGTACTTGGTAGTCCTTGCATATAGCCTCCTATAGTTGCTTCTAGTTCTACCAGATGAAATGCAAGGAGAGAGCTGCGTATGGAGAGGGTGTTCGGGGTCTGACAATATAGAATTCGCTAGTTTCTTACATGACATTATATGTCTATCCACAATTGTGTTAACCAGTTGGCTTAACGAAATCCCACTTCCCCTTCTAACAGCTTTTAGTGCCCTATGCAGCGAAGCAAAGTCTTTCTTGAGTAGTCCAGGGAAGATTAATGGGGAGCAGTAAAGAGGGATGGTTAGAATACAGGAATTGACAAACTGAGAAAGCAAAGACTGCTTTATACCAGACTGCCTAAACTTCCTAACGTAGAACGTTAAGCGAAACATCTTTCTAGTAACTAGCAAGATGTGAGAGGACCAGGAAAGATCGGGGGAAATACTAAGTCCATGGTACTTGACATCAGATGTAGTTTCAACCTCTATGCCGTCAATGATAGTGGGACCATGTGAGCTAGCTAGTTGTTGAAGGTCAAGATTTTGTAATAATTTTTGGAATACTTCCAGTCAATTGGAATAGCTTGGATAGTTGTTGTGAGTTAAATATTTCAATTAAAGCATCTCAAAGATATTACTCCTTTCACATTTCCATTAATTTATTATATTCATAAAGATTGGGTCACGAAATCATGCACCTGGCTATTAACGAGAACAGTCTACATTTTCAGTGATTCAAGTGATATGAAGGTGTCTAGAATCGTTTTCGTGATGCAGGAGATATTTTCAAAGTTTTCCTAGCTACTAGACATGATAAATATGTCAACAGGATTATTTTGTGTTAAATGACTGACTGCGTAATGACAGTCAGTTTGTAAACATTTTCGTAATAGATTTCACTATTCATCAAATTTTAACTACGTAATTTAGTGCTAGGCACATAGACACTGATCTGGGAAGGAATCACACGGAAGCAATCTAATTTATCACGATTGCTTAATACAGACACTGAGTAATTTTATTAAGGAAAAGTAGTAACCTGCAAAGATGCTTATTGTTTCAAAAACCTGTTAATTTCGAAGTGAGCTGCAATAGAGACAGACAAATTACAAATAAACTCAGTAGAAGTGATATCATTACATGGTGCATTAATTGATGGAACTGGGATAGTAACCGCCGTTGTGATAACATTCATGATGGCACTTACTGCGTCATCTTCAGACGGGCAGTCCGTGTCACTCTTACTAGCCACTTTAACATCAGAAAGTTCCATGGCTTTAGACAGAAGTTCGTGAGCCTCCCTTATTAAAGTCGTCTTTGGGGAGCAACACATTGTGCACATCCAGTGGGATGTTGGAGCACTACAACGTTTGTATGCAGCTGGACGTTATCAAGTACACATCTTATGATAACACTTTTTACAATTATTACAGTGTATTCCATCATCTGCCGAAAAGTAACACTCCGCCCTATTACATTTATGTGTTACTTTTGACATAATGAACTTCTACTGGAACAGCCAAGACAATTTACCCAATATAGACAATATAAGTGGTTAAAATCAAAACTCAACAGACAAAAGTCAAGTTAAAGATTAAAAAATGTTCTTGAAGAGAATAACACAACAAAAACAGCGATATGACATATACGTGAAAAAAAAACCTAAAAAAGCACTCCCTTTTCCAAAGAGGTGGCTCAACTACTCTTCCTTCTACACACTCATCATCCTCACAAATTATCTTCTGAAATATTTATCCACATTAATGTGACTCTTCATTGTACATCCTCATTCCTAACAGCTTGACGCATAACTACAATGAATTGAAGAGACAGAGACAAGGGAGACAGGGTTTGAAACAGAGACAGAGAACAGGAAGGATGTGGTGAGTGTGTGAATAGCTTGTCGATGAATGTGAGATGTAGAGAGGAAGCGATAGAGCAGTCAATGTGTGTGTATGTGTGTGTGAATGTGAGATTGATTCACAGCTCTGGAATGCATCCGATTTATACTATAATTATTAAGACTGTCTGTTCCCAGATTCCGCTGAGAATTTTCACACAGCCAGCTAGCCAGCTAGCCCACTAGCCCGCTAACCCGCTAGCCAGCTATCTCACTTTGTCCGCCGAATAACGCCGACTAAGCAAAGTTTGCATCTAAGAATTGCAGAATGCAAAGTGCTTTCCAATTCATGCATGTCAGTCAACCAGTCAATCGATCAATTGAAACTATTCAAAAATGGGGATTAAGACATATGCATCGGCCCACTAACGAAATGAATAACCAACGAGCTGACGAACTAATCAACCAACGGACGGACGGACGGACGGACGAACCAACCAACCAATCAACCAACCAGATGCAATGACGGACTGAGTCGCAAATACAAGGATGACTTATTTATTCATCACATAGTGAATAGGTGAAAGGGAAAAACGAATTGCCAGGCAGGCGAGTGAGCAAGCAAGCGAACGAGTGATTCAATCACCTGACGAACAAGTCATCGATCTTCCAAACGATCGAGCGGTCAATCGTTCGAGTGAGCATATCAATCAAACCATTTCACATTACGCGTACTCATTGATTCTACTGATTGATTACTGATCAGCTGACTTCGAGTGTGACCACGGGTTCGCTCGACTTCGAGGTTAACTTCGAGGAGTATAAAAAGCACGGTGTATGTGAGTAGTCAGCTTCAAGTTGACAGTAAACAGTTCTTCACAGTAAACGACAATGCAGATGTTCACTGTATGTTAGAATACTCTGGTTGTATAATATTGTATGCCTTCCTTCCTGATGGGCATTTTCATTTCAGCTCGTCTTAGTTGTACTCGTTGCATCACTGGGATTCGAAATGGGAGGTAAGTCTTCCTCCTGCGTCTGCTCCTGCTCCTGCTCCTCTTCCTACTCCACGTCATCATCAACCTCATCATGACCATGATCACTCGTTCACATACATGAGAGAAGAGATAGACAATGCAGACAGACAAATAACACATTCACTCAGCAGAAATGATATCATTACATGCTACCTTAGTTGATGAGACAATGGATGAAGGAGTGACTAAGTTGGTGATAGAGTGAGTCAGTGGGTCAGTGGGTGAGTGAGTGAGTGAGTGAGAGGGTGGGTGGGTGGTTGGGTGAATGGCTGAGTGAGTGATTGAATGTATGAAGCAAGTAATGGCTGAGTATTTAATTGTGGTGTTTTGTTGTTTTGTGATTTCAGTTATCGCAGGTCCAGTTCCAGAACCAGCAGCGGCAGCGGCAGCAGCAAACAGTGGTTGTCCTGGCTGTCTTGGTGGATGCCCTAAATGCCGTGGGGGGTGTTGTGGATGCCGTGGTTGCCGAGGTGGAAATTGTCCAGGTGGCTGCTGTAAAGGCTGTCGAAGACATTAAACATTAACGCAGCAGACATCAGTTGACTAATGAAACAGAACACCTCATTATTCATACAAGCTTTCCTGCGTGAAGAAAACCCTGTCATCATTGATCCGAAGACGGTGGACAATGTGTACTTTAATAGATATCCTCTGTACAACTTACTAATAATAAATACACTTGCATTATCTAAATCACACCTTTCAGACTTCTTCTTTTTCACTCAATTGTCTGTCAATCAGCGAAGCTCTGATTCCCCCCTCCCCTCGCGCTCACCGAAATTAGCATCCAACCATCTTGTGTAAATTCCTGTGTGTTTCAACCAGATACTTCTTTGCTTCATCGGTTGGTCATTTGGTCAGTGAGACAGTTCGTCAGGCTGTTGGCCAGTCGAATAGGCGTGCAGTCAGCCAGTGTGAGAGAGAGAGAGTGAGAAAGCCATTAAGTGGCTAAGTAGGGGAGGGAGGGAGGGAGTGAGTAAGTAAATGAGTGAGTGAGAGAGTGAGCGAGTCATGGAGGGAGTTGGTCAGCTAGGCAGTGAATGATGTGGCGTGTTGATTTCTGCCAGTTGAATTGAGGAGTAAATCTCTGTTGAATGGAATTTAAAGTATACGAAAATATGATTCAGATAATCTGGCAAATAGACCAGCATCCATCCAAAATGGTCAGTCAGCCATTCAGTAGTCAGGCAGGCGGGCAGTAAGTCAGTCAGTCAGTAAGCACGTAAACACTTAATCGATTCAGTAAAACAGTAATTGAGTAAGCCAGCAAGCAAGCAAGCAAGTGCTTATGCAAGTAACTACGTAATGAAATGTCCAGATTATTAACAGAGAACTTATTTCACTGAGTAATGATTGCGTGAATATTAGGTTGATGCTTGTTTAGTTGAACACGTCTTCAGCGAGTGATGTTCACATGAACATACTACTCATTATCGCTTGTACAGAGGCTGCCGGTATTGACGTTCACGGACAGTACGAAGTATACTAACGCAAGATCTAATACCCACAACTTTTATAGTATTCGTTCCGCGTGGACCAATGACAAAGCAAAACACCAGAATGGATCGTCCAAATTACGAGATATATTTCGGGACGAAATCTGAGTGAGAGATGATTGCTCAGCTGGCTGGCTAGGGATCGTGCACGAACGTGACACGACGGAGTACTAAATGGCGTGGATGCTTGACCGGAAGCCTTCAGATAAACAAGATGACTTAAACAATGAGGGTCAGCATCCAATGTTCAGTTATGATTGCTGTGGTCAATAAATTTGGGTAATTATTTACCGGTACACTTGTTTTCCGGCCCGTCTCTCTCTCCTCCGTGACTCTCTTCTCGCATTGAGGTGAATGAAAATTGCATTTAAAGAGTAGTTGTATTTCGATCTTCGCGAATTCCCGTTCTCTGGTGTGAATTTCGCTCACTATTCTCCTACCACACGACTAATTTCTACTACATAGAATCTCTCTTCTTCCTCGTGTTTTATCATCCTGCCTATGTAACCAAATGTGACTAGTACTCACTTTGGACAGATTCTACTTAACATCTACTAACTACAAAAGAGTAGGAAATATCCTGTTTATTTAAATACCCTACGCTTATGCATATGTATACAAAGATAGATAATATATAATAAATGTATATACAAACACACATACACATACACATACACATTCATATCAGGATATGTGCACCTATGCATACGTTGATTCACATACAAGATGAAGTCACTGACACACTGAATTCTCTGCAGACTAACACTTTCGACGAAGTTGAAACGATCCACATCTCCTTCCCTCCCTCTCTCACTCTCTCCCGTTGTTCATCGCTTGCTTGCTGGTTTGCTCACTCGCTCACTCGCTGTCGCTCAGACACACACCGACTGACTGATATTCACATTGGCACCAGCTAATCAACCTGGTTGCTGCTGCCATTTCACGTCAACAAACATTGTGAAAACACACAGATAGACACATGAACACGCACGCAGGCACGCATGCACCAGTCGAAGACAGCTAGATTTGCCAGAAGACGTCAGATCTGATCCCATCTGCTCCGCCCTGCTCATGTCTTCTCACCTCATCTCAGGTCCACAGCAAGCAAGCGATACAAACATGTTTCTTATTTTCGGAATTTCTGATGTGAATAAAGTGCCTTTTGCATGTGGCTGCTTTACTTGTCATCACCTGTTTTTTTAATCTTTATTTTCTCGATGCTTATTCTCAATATTTCTTTTTGCTGTAGTTTTTCAATGCATTAATCATAATGTCATACTCCTTCGCTACGTAATTTTGCTTAAACTCCTTCTGGTTAATACTATGAATTGATCTCTCAACCCGTTGACGTCATCATTTCACTTGGAATTTTCTGTTTATTTCTGTGGACAGAATTTCAGTAGGATGCTATTATGAATATTTCTTATAATCCCAGGTGTTTCTCAGTTGTCTTTGAATAATTAAGGTCAGATTAATCGTGTGTTAATTTAAATGCAATGTAAAGGTTGACTTTCGGTAACTTGTAGATGTTTGACAAGCTACACAGACTAACTTATCGACAGGTTTTTCCTAATTCAAACCGAATTATATTCACTTTAGTCATTACAAACTTTATAGGGTGAACAATCTATGATGGCCACTCTTTCAGAAAGCGTGAGAAACACAAACATCATAAGAGTGGACGAAAAATAGTTATCCAAATCTTGTCCTGAGTGTACACACTAATATCTGCCAAAATTACGGCCATATAGCAGTATAGAATACAAAACTCCTTGCAGTCACTTTTGAAGGAAGGAGAATTTGTCGCATAGGTGCTCTCATGAACATGTATGTTGTTACTACACATTATTCCGATTAGGGTACGTAAGTTTAACAGGCTCATGATTCATCTCCTCTGACGTAGCAATGACATCAAGATACTTCATTTCATAAGAATTTGTTAGTTTAGATTTTGACTGGTTTTTAAGTGGATTTACTACCATACCTGGTGAAAACTTCAACATTCAAATGACAAAGTCAGTGTTATGTTAGTTTCATTTCATGTGTAAAATATCGCATACTACCTACTCACAATCAGTAGTATGAAGGCTTCCAGGAAATACGGAATCGACGGTGACACCATCTGAGACAATGTTTCGTTTACAGATTGTTGGTATTGGTGGCAGGCTTTCCAAATAAAAGGATTATGACTTCATCTTCTATTATCCTCCAATTCATTACTTCATGACCACCTACATAATAATAAAGCCAAACATGTATAATGTGAATGGCTTTATGTAAGAATCAATTACACTTCATGCTTTATTTGTATTCTAGGTTATAGTAATTAAATGAGATGGAATATTTTTGATTGCAGTTATTGTGGTAGGTGTTTTGATAAAAACGTACGAGGTGATGGGGCAGACCACACGTTAGTAAGCTTGTACAAGCGCACCGGATGGCTACTCATTCTTGATGTACGGAGTCGGATTTGATCCATAGCACTCAGTGGACTACAGTAGGGTACACACCCCTAAGCAAATTTTCTACAGTGCAAACTGTATCGATGAAGACATAGGCTGATCAACCAAATTCGCCATTAACCAAATCGAATCTCTCCGCACATACATATCTTAAGTAGAGAGACTCAACGTGGTTGATGAACTTCCTCAGAGCTTGAAGGATTTATTTATTGACTATGTTAACGAATTTATGAACACTTGAGAAAGCAAGAAATTGATATTATTAACCAAAGGACTAGATACAGATATGGTTGAAATTAATTTTCCACTTGACTAAAACGAGAAGGTTTTCAATTTTTCCTCTGCATGCTTAGATAAGACACAACTTGAAGCCTCATCTCTCTGTTTAAAATTCTGTGACAGGCGTAATCAGGATAAGAATTTAGAGATTGATGTTCGATTTGAAAACCAATTTTGATGTGGTTGTGTTCTCTGAGCTGGATAGTTAATTTACGAAGCTTTCATCACCCTACTGGGTGACATCTTCAGCGCATACTTCAATTTGAACTGAGCTTTTAGATTTCTCCACGAGTTTATTAATCATCTCTCCTGGCGACCTTGGACGTGATTGGTTGTTTTTGTGTGTTTTCACACCTTCTAGGTTGCTTGTATTGTCACTCATTGTCTCTTTGACTTGAACTTTGACCCTTTGTGTGTGACTATTCTTCCTTATCGGTTGATAAATCTTCTCTATCATATCCGAAAACTGATTTGCCCAGACAATCGACCTAACTCCTTCGTCCAAGTATGAGCATTACGTGACCTGAAGAACAAAAGTCTGATAACAACTAGACCTGGCAAAGTATCTGGTACATTTATCGTGAATAAGAGTGATTATGTAGATATTCTAAGCGACCATGCGAAATTTCAAAAGCTGAGTGCTGTAAAGATACAACTGAGGCAACTGAGCGCCTAGTAGCTGAGACACTAAAATCTCGAGTTGAGAGTATTCTGATTCCCAAGGATACACTCAATGAATTGAAACCCTTGGGTGCGCACACACCGAATCTTTATGGTTCATCGACAGTTCACAACCTCGGAGTACCACTGCATCCCATCATATATATCTGTCAATCTCCCCATCATTCTACAGCAAAGTGGTTGGTAAAGGCATTGAAACCGTCACATCATGAATTAGTAAAATTCAGTGTAAAAGACCTAAGTGGCTTTGTAGAAACTACCTAGAGCCTGAATGTAAAGGGAAAGAAAATAATGTCACTGGATTTAGCATCATTATTCACCAACGTCCCACTGCTCGAAACAGTCAGCTACTAATGTGAACAACTGAAAAAAAAATGGAAGATAGATATAGAAACCCCATATGAAAAAGTCAAGGAATTATTATTGAAATGCACTATGAATGTTCAGTTGAGTTCGACAATGATTTTTCTAGAAAAGTTGATGGTTTTGTCATCGGATCACCTTTGGACCTTATGCTAGCGAATATTTTCCTGGCAAAGCTTGAAAATGGTCCACTCATAGACACGGTTAAAGGGACCGAATATTATTGTCAATACGTA